TATGTTGCATCACCTTCTACCTTTTGGCATGTGCAAACTTTTCATCTTTTTATCACTACTTTACAAGTACATATCTATGTATGGGAAACTGCAACTTGGAGACTTAACTACAAATTCAGTAAGACCAGTGTAATTTTTTATAGATGAGAGGATGATCTGTGAGAATGTTTTCAGAGGGACAAGGCGCACAATAGGCGTTTGTCTTTGCAAATAAAGATGTGTATGCAAATGTTTTTATATGATATCAAAATAGGCGCACAATAGGCGTTTGTCTTTGCAAATAAAGATGTGTAATTTTTTATAGATGAGAGGATGATCTGTGAGAATGTTTTCAGAGGGACAAGGCGCACAATAGGTGTTTGTGTATATATATACAATAACCTTAAAGATATATATCTTGATAGTGAACTTTAAAGAGTGGTGCAATTTATCCTATGAAACATGCAAAATTTTCTTTTGTTGTCCAATGTGAATGATTTCCTTTGATACCGTGTTTATTGTTGAATATTCAAAGTTTTGAGAAGTAATCAGTTTGATATTATCCTTATCTTACTAATAAAGGTTCATTTTATAAAACAAATTAAAAGAAATTAGAAAGGATTTCAACCAAGCAAACTTTTTTTTTTATATTTGTTTCCTTGCAAAAAGGCATGTTAGGCACGTGGTTCATGTGCCTGATCAAATGGGACTCCCCTGAAAAGGTCTGAAGCGCTTTTGTTATCTAATGCTAAGATCCGACAGCTAGATGCGCCTGGATGCACACCCCACTGGGTAGCAGAACAGTTTTTACCAGTGCTTGCTCCTCTTTGTAGATGCTTCTAGTTGGAGAATTTAACTTTCTTTTTACTCTTATGTGTGCCTCACAAAATGATAACAAAAACCTAGTACGCAAGAGACAGTCTATATTTATTTCTAGTGTTTAGCTCATTCTAGATATGTATTCTGATACTTGTTGAAGTTATTTATTTTTGTCATTCTCTAAGAAAGCACAAAATTTGATTTTGATGACTAATTTTTCATGATAAAAGTTCTAGATGAACAATAGCTAATACTAGCTGTTGAATGGTTCTTAAATTGACAAAGGCAGAAGTTTTGTTTTTTTGTAGTGCTAATTTAAATCTTGTTCCTTTTTATATGTTCAGATTCAGTCTTCGTTTCTTATTATAAACTTCATTTTGTTGACTCAAATGCAATGGGGATAAGCTTTTTGGAGTATCTACTGGACATAAATGCCTTGAAGCTGCATGGATGTGTTTCTGACATTTGTTTTGCTTTTGAAAACTTCCATACACATACTAACTGAAACAAAAATGCATCTCTTTTCTTGCTTGCTTGTTATATTTCGGGCCTCAACATATTTTGACAATGTCCCACATGCTTCCTGAAATATTTTCTGTAATATGTACTTGATTTTTACTTGTTTGTCCTGGATTGATGTTATAGCTCATAAATAATGAAGATCTTGAAGAATTGAGGGAGTTGGGCTCTGGTACATTTGGGACTGTATATCATGGCAAATGGAGGGGATCAGATGTTGCCATCAAGAGAATCAAAAAGAGCTGCTTCACAGGTCGATCATCTGAGCAAGAAAGATTGGTAATTTGCCTTGCACAAATCAATATTGGTAATGCATAGAATACATTTTCTAATATTCATTCATGGCACCATTGTTTGAAAGCCTGTTGATCTTAAAAGGAAGTTTAACAAACTAAAAATAATATTCTTCTTTTTCTTTTTTACTTTTTCTCCTGAAGGGGGGTCCAAATAGAGACCTTATTTTTTATTTTCGTGGTTGCTTGTGTTTTGTATCTGGTCACTATACCTCATGGCTGTCGGCAATGATTTCTTTTCTTTATTTAGCTATTATCATAATCATCGTTATTTCATGTTTGCTACTGCCATTTTCCTCTGGTATTATTTTCATATTTAATGCTTTACTAAAAGGTTTACACTTACATCCTCAGACCATTGAATTTTGGCGGGAAGCTGACATTCTTTCAAAGCTTCACCATCCAAATGTGGTGGCATTTTATGGGGTGGTGCAAGATGGTCCTGGAGGAACAATGGCTACTGTTACAGAGTTCATGGTTGATGGTTCCCTTAGGCATGCTTTACTTCGCAAGGATAGGTGAATTTTTTTTTCACTTTGTTATCGTGTAATTAATAGTTTGTTTAATTTTTTTTGTGGGGGGGTGGGTTGATATTCTCATATTGTTAGTTCACAAATATCTCCTGCTTATGTTCTACCTAATCTTAATTTCCAGATTGCTTGATCGTCGAAAGAAGCTCATAATTGCTATGGATGCAGCATTTGGGATGGAATATTTACATTCAAAAAATATTGTGCATTTTGATCTGAAATGTGACAATTTGCTTGTTAACTTGAAAGATCCTTTGCGGCCTATTTGCAAGGTTACCTCGCTGTCTTGGCCAAATTAGTATGGCTAAAATTTTGTGCTAATTATTACCTCTCTAAGAATCTTTCTTTCTCAGGTTGGTGATTTTGGACTGTCTAAAATCAAACGTAACACCTTAGTTTCTGGCGGTGTTCGGGGGACCCTACCGTGGATGGCTCCAGAACTCCTGAATGGGGGTAGCAATAAGGTTTCAGAAAAAGTAAGATGTGGTTTATGAAATTAACTTGAACTGGCACAATAAGCTATATGCTCTTCCTGATTCTTTCCACGGTTCTCTGGGAGGTTTTGCCTGATTATTGCAATCTAAAAGACTAAAACATAGTCCATAATGATAAAACCCAATGGAGAGAATTCTTTAACTGATTATTCTTATTATTCATTTAAGAAACTATTGCAGTGATCAGTACGTATTCTGAATTGTTTCCATTTCCTTTATAGCAGTTGTTTTTTTGATGTAAGCATGGATCAAATTTAATTAATTTGAAGTTCTAAAACCAGTCGACAAGCAGAGCATCAAGGCTACACTAGAAGGACCGGTAAACTTTTAAAAGTCTAATAACACGAAACGGAAGAATTTTTGTCTTTTGGGGGGAGGGTTTGAGTTCCTTCTTCAGTGGATGTGAGCTCAAACCAAAACATCATAAACCCATCCTTTATAGCAGTTGTTATGTAACTGATAATTAAGATAATGATAGTACAAATGACTGCTAGTGCTTAATTGGCTCTGAACTTTGCAAGATGATTTAAAATGAACAGTTTTGGCTTGTGATATTGTCTGAATACAGCACTTGCTCTTGGCTAAATCATAGAGTCAAACTTCTCTAGTAACCATGGCTTTTTAAATGAAATGGGACTCAAAGCTGGATGACATTGGTAGTAGTAGTCTTGCAGAATCAATTTATTGAGTCTGAACCTACAAGTGGTAGTTCATAACTTTCAGCCTTTTTTCTTGCTGTATTTTTGTTGCCACGCCGTCCATTGCCATTATTCCTTGATGACTAATAGTAGTATATATCTAAATAAAGTATGTATGTATGGGTGCACACATGGATACATTTATGATCACACTCTTTTATGGGAGCCTTAACTGAAATATTCATTAAAAATATAAAATAGAGAAAAGAGATGGGTCTGTGGGTGGGGGATGTGAAAGAAAATTATATTTTGATGTTGAGCGATTCCTTGGAAAGCTATTCATCATCTGTATACTTCCTAACCTGATTTCATGATATCATAAGAGTGGCTGCTTTAATTGTTGTCTGTTGAAGAAGACCGTATTTTGTTACTTATTCTGCCTGGGATACATATATATATTGCTAGTGACAATGTCATTTTTTAGTACTATTCTTTACATTTATTTGTTGATCTGCAGGTGGATGTGTTCTCTTTTGGTATTGTTCTATGGGAGATTCTCACTGGTGAAGAGCCTTATGCCAATATGCACTATGGTGCAATTATAGGTGTGACTCGATAACTTCTTGTAGCTTTTAAATTTTTGGTCGAGTCAGAATATTCTCAGCAATTATAGAGGCAAATGAGAAACTAAAAATAACATGATCATGCTATGTTGAAGTGAAGCAACCGCCTGTGTTTTCCATCTATTGGACTGGAAACTTTCTTCTGGAGCCAAAATATAATAAGTAGTTTTGGTATTTTTGACTGTTGAGTTTTTTTTTATTGACCGTGAGGCATTGATACCTGTTAACTGGCATGTGAGTTTTGGGCTTCATTCATGGAAAGTATCTGTTCATGCTTATTCCTAACATGGATATGCTTGGCTGCCTATAAGATGGTTATATGCATTTTCCCCATTTTGCATTTTTTTGAGTCCCCTGTTTGTCATGTTTAGGTTTATATTCCTTGGTTCTAGTCATACTTTCTCTTTATGATCTAAAAGTTGTTTCGACATGCAGGAGGCATTGTAAGTAACACGCTGAGACCGACAATTCCAAGCTTTTGTGATCCTGAATGGAGAAAGTTGATGGAACAATGCTGGTCCCCCAATCCTGCAGCAAGGCCATCATTCACAGAAATCGCTAGTCAATTGCGGACAATGTCAGCTGCTGCGAACCAACAAAGCAAGGGTCACAAGGCATCGAAATGAAAATGATTTCTGAAAGCGATAGTCATTTCCACTAGTTATTCATCCAGTTCACGCATTCGAGTAGTATTTAATTATATATTCACTTGGAAATGGAGAATCGAGGCTTCCTAATTGTTTTTGGAATGGAAGGCTTTTTGGAGGAACAATAATGTTGTTGAACAAAATATTGTGATTTAGTGTACCATTGTACTTGAGGGGGGAAAAAACACTTTATCTTTTACCTTTTTAAACTGTGGTGACACTGGCTGAAGGCCGTGCATCTTTTCAAATAATTGCTACCCTTTTTTTCGACTTCGATCGAATATGGAGATGGAGTTTGGCTTTATCTAGAAGTTTATCACTATTCATGCACTTATTTTCTCTGTCATGTAATTCATCAAAATCAGTTTTAAGATTATACATACCTTACCTAGCCCAATCCTTACTTGACTCAAACACTTGAACCCCATCATTCGAAGCCCAGCTCTGCCTAGTCATCTTCACCATGGATCCACTTGTTCGTCCCTTTCGGTCCCGTCCGACCCTTCGTAAGCTATGATGTTCCATATTTCTTTGGCAAAGTAAAGCCTCACTATCTTCATCCTTTGAGGACTATGTCTGGGTAGACTAGCTTCTAGTGAATAGAAAATGGCTGAATAGCAGTGAAGGGCCTCGAGGAACTGCCCGTGAAAGAACAGTCCGTTGTGGTTTGCATCTTGTTCCACCACTGTCAACCGAGCTGGGCTTAGTTTCTTGATTGCTTCGAGCGATCCTTTTCTTTCTTTGACATATTTGTGCAAGTGCATAACTGTTGATGTATAATGGTTCCCCTTCTCTTGAGATTCTCTGGAGTTAAAAGACATGGTGTAACTGACTCTGATATTGTGTGGAACTCCATTGCTATACCGAGTGAGATAGCTAGCATCCTCGATGAGGGACTTCATATAGGCTTCGAGCTCTAGGAGATGTACATTGCTGGTTAATGTCGTTATTAGAAGAGTCGGGGGACCTTCGGGCCTTGATGCTAGTGTTCGTATCAGGGAAGGACATTGAAGTTTATGTTTCATTCCTAGATCAGTGATGTGCAAGGAGCCTTTCGCTTGTGCTGCTTGAGATATTGCCTCATTTGCAGCCATGAAACCAAATGCAACGCAAGGAAATATGTGGTAAAGTAGTTGAAAGGCCTCCATTTTCTCCTCTACCTATTGCTAAAGACAATCTAAAATTTCCTAAATCAAACACATGATTTCATTCATCACGTGACCTCAACCCTAACTTCATATTTATCCGACAGGACCACGCGCTTCATATATTTCAGCTAATTTTCTAAACTACTCTTCAGTTAGGGGTGTAAAAAACTGACCCGACCTGTAAAACTGACTGAAACCGACTCGAGTTAAAATTATTTTTGACCTGCGTTGTGACGATCCGAAACCGACTCAATTCGGAACTGGTGTTGACCTGAACCCTAGTTGGACCTGGAAATTATGGATCTGAACCCAACCTACATCCGACCTGAGAACAACCTGAACCCGAATTGAACCAAAAAATATGATACTCGAACCCGAACTGCATCCGACTGATACGAACCTGAACCCGAACCCGAGATTAACCTGGTAAATACCCGACCTGTTTTCAACCTAATCTGTTATGAATCTGGCCTGTAATTGACTCAACCTGTAAATGATCCGACATGTTGTTAAAGTGAATTGATATTATCATGACTTATAAGTGAAGTTACAATTAATATAATTATGTTATTTTAAATTTATAAATAAACTTATGATAATTAATTTAATATGATTACTTTTTGAAATTTTATCATAAATTATTATAATAATTAAATTAATATGATTACTTTTTAAAATTTAGATTTATATTAATTTTAATTTGTATATTATAAATCTGATTTTTATGTTAATTCCAATTCATAAATTTCTTTATATTTCTTATATTTTAAATTTTATTTATAATCACTCAATTAAATTTAAATATTATCTTATTGAACTTGATTTTATTAAGTTATATTAATTGAGTTAAAATATTCATAAATTTAATTTACTTTTAATGTGAAAATTGATTAATAATTTAAGTAAACTTAACTTGAAATTTTAAAATAAAAATATATTAGTTGAAATGATGGACTTATTAAAGATTAAAAACTTGAATAACATTACAAATACTAAAAAAATATTTATAAATGAAAGTAATTTTATTACACTTGAAAACATTAAAATTACAATAAAATTAACTAAACAAAATAAATTTATGTTGAAATAAATGCTCTCAGATCCTATAGCTAATGTTTACAAGGCTAAAAAGCCTAACTATACTACCAAAAATATCATCATCGAGCATTTATACCTAAATGCCACCAACATGTTTAATTATGGGAAACTTTCTAGCTTTAAAAGCTAAAATGTCACCAACATAATTCAATATGAGTAACTATTTAGATAAGAATTTATAAGGTTCTAAAATTGATTTAAGTCGGACCAACAAAAATAATTTACAAGGCATCAGCGAGTAATAAACAACAGCAACCGACAAGCATCAATGTACCAATTCAACAAGTATCGTTGCATCGATTCAGCAGGCATCCTGCATTAAGAAAACATACAATCAGTGGTAAAGCCAAAGGGAATTCGATGGCCAACAGTGCCAAACATTTCTGACTTTACCAAACCCTTACAATATCAAGCAGAAACAAGCAATATCAAACAGAAGCAAACAATATAAAATAGAATAAAACAGAATCAAGCACCAAGTATGAAATCTTGTAAGGCAATAAGGCACCCTACAAAAGAAAAGGATTATTAATGAACTATTTGAAACTTTTATTAAATAAACATAATAAATATTAAATATTAAATTACATTTGAAGGGAATAAAGAAGACAAAATTTCTAATTCAAATCTCTAATTCGAATGATTTCAGGGACCTTTAAACACCCTAAAAATTACAAAGAAAAATTAAAATAATTAATAAACAATTTGAAATATTAATGACATTAACATAAAAAAACAATTTGGATTACCTTTACAATGAAGACTCGTTAACCACAAAAAGATATTCTTCTTCCTTATCCCCCGACTCAAAATCATACAACCAATTACAGGTTGTTACAAAAATCTCAACATCTTTAGGTAAGAGTTTAGCTCTTAATTTGTTCAAAATTTGACCCCCCATACTAAAGGAGGATTCGGATGCAACCGAAGTAATTAGAATAGCCAATATATCTCTCGCCATGCGAGAAAGTACCGGATATGAAATACTTTGATTTTTCCAATAATCCAAAATATCAAATTCAGTTTCTCCAGTATGAGGGACAAGAGGCAAACTGATGTAAGAATCAACGTTAGATCGTCCACTCCTTGAAGCAGCTAAATTGGCATCGAAAGTCTAAAAAATAAAAGACAAAGATTAGTAAATGAAAACAAGAAATAAATAAGATAAATTCAACTTAAAATTGTAATTACTAACCTGAAATAGATCTGATTTTCTAAAAGCTCGAGGCCGATTGGAACTTGACTCACTTTTGCCTAAGGATTTGTTACTTTGGACAGAAGAAGAAGAGGAAAAACCACAAGGTGTATTTTTTTTTTGAATAAAATACATATATAACTCAAGAAACACATTATAAATGAGACTTACCCTTCTTTGAACCTCATCCTCAACATAAAGAACATTGTACAACTCTTTCAGAAGTTGTAATTTATATCGAGGATCAAGTAAAACAACAAAAGTGAGAATCATTGAGTGATCAAACCAATATTTCTCAAATAGTTCAAGCATGGGTTTAGCTATTGCAGAAATACCTTCACAGGGATCATTATGAGCCTCACACAATAATTTTTCAATTGAAACAATATTAGCCAAATACAAGTTAGAATTGGGATACTTAGAACCAGAGAACAAAGTAGTAATTTCATAAAAAGACTCAAGAAAATCACAGATTGTTTGAACAATTTCCCACTCATGATCAGTAATGAAATCTAACTCATTTTTCCTATTAACAAACAAATTAATTGCTAATCTAGCCTCAAGTTCCCTATGAACCATCAAGTAAGTAGAATTCCATCGAGTAGGAACATTGTAACACCCCAACCCGTATCCGACCCGGATACGAATCCGAGGTGTCACATTGACCTTTTAAAACATGTACTTGTATAAAATAGTGAGTAATTTAAAACTTTTATAACATATAAATGACTAATTTACATAAAAGACATTTTCATTATTACAAAACCAATCAGAGCGTGTATATTTCACTTATTTATTTACATATAACTATTCGAAACATTTATAAAACTGTTCATAGCTTAAACAATATATTCTTTTGAAAACATGCCAACTAGAACTTTATATACTAAAATACATATTATTCACATCTTTTCTGATCTGATCTTTAGTAAGGAGAACTGACCTGTCTTGCTCCACATTGCTCTTTACTCTTCTCGAAACCTACGTGTAAATCACTTACACGCTAAGTCAAAGACTTAGTGAGGCATATAAACATATAAGGTAAACGGTAACTAATAATCATACCTAAACAATTACTACTAACATTTCATACCACTCATACTTTTACATGTAACAAATATATGCATACATATATGCCATTATCATTCATATCTTTTATCTCATGTTCCTATGATCTCTTATGTCCATATCATATAACATATACCATAACCAATTGCACATATACATATCATGTCACGTAAACTATATATATATACTATCATTGATTCCTTTCATCATATGGTCTTATAAGTTACCATTTGTACAATCAATATCACACATGAAATTCCACAAGGAAACAAACATATTATCATATCACTTTATTAATATTATCTATTTAATAGCCCATGATACACATGTGAGAGCTAAAGATATGCGAGTACATAGAGGTTGTGCACTAATGCTGTCACCACAGCTCATATAATTGCACCGAAGTGCCACATATAATTGCACCGGAGTGCCGCGTAGAATTGCACCGTAGTGCCATATAATAATGTCCATAAGGACCACATATAATTCCTTAAGAATCATATACATATACTAGGGATCAAGTATGTGTCTCACCAGACTTCACACATGTTCCAAAGAATACATATATATCCCGAAGGACCACATAGACCCTCGACTCTTGGCATGCCAACTATACCCCTAGCTCTCATGACACATAACATGGGCATTATCTTTTATATCCTTTTACATATTCATGTTTTTCACTATTGGAAATAGACTTATCACAAGTCTTATTTTCCCTTGAACCTCATATACTGGAGAATGTGCACTCACCTTAGCCTTGTTTGCTTTGAATCAATCTTAATCCTTAGATTGTTCCGGAACAAGCTTTATTCTATATCTACATCATAATAATACATTGATACATATCAGTATACTAATTGATATCTTCTAAATTGTCACTTCTTAGGCTAAAAGAAAAGCCCATTTCATCTTTTAATGAAGGTATGCATCGATGCACTGCACAGTGTATCGTTGCATTCCCTATCGGTGCATCGATGCACTACTTGTGCATCGGTGCATAAAATACATTTGATGTTTGTTTATTACTGGGATGCATCGATGCATGCCTTATGCATCGATGCACCAATTGTATTCGATTTTTTTTATATTAAAAGAGTGCATCGATGCACTACCTGTGCATCGATGCACTACCTGTGCATCGATACACCTTCAAATAATTTCTGGGTTTTAACCTTGATGCATCGGTGCACTATGAATATGCATCGATGCACTCTGCCCAGAATCCTCTTTTTGAACCCGAAAATTCATTCTTTTTGGCTTAAATCCTTCATATTTCAACCCCTTTCATATTCCTAACTTACATATACATACTTAAACTCATTAATATTCATTTATCTCATCTTTAACCTTAATATCCTCTCCTCTTTAGGAATTTCAAGAATCATACCCTATTTTCCACATGTTTCAAATCTAATTCTAACACTTAATACTTCTTAATTAAGCTGATGACAAGTCAAATTTAGTTTCAAGTTCAACTTATCAACTCCATTCTGGAAATTCACTCAAGAACTCCAAATCTTTAATCTTCCCTAACTCATTTATCTTTTGATCTTAAGATAACTTAACCTTTCCTTAAGCTTAAGTATCACCTAAGAATCATAACCCAATTTTTAATTCAACAAATAACCAACTAATT